CCACCACTACCAGCACTCACCACCACTACCACACTCACCACCACTACCACACTCACCACCACTACCACACTCACCGACACTACCACACTCACCACCACTACCACACTCACCACCACTACCACACTCACCACCACTCACCACCACTACCACACTCACCACCACTACCACACTCACTACCACTACCACACTCACCACCACTACCACACTCACTACCACTACCACACTCACTACCACTACCACTACTCCACCACCACTACCACACTACCCACCACACTCACCACCACTACCACACTCAACACCACTACCACACTCACCACCACTACCACACTCACTACCACTACCACACTCACTACCACTACCACTACTCCACCACCACTACCACACTCACCACCACTACCACACTACCCACCACACTCACCAGCACTACCACACTCACCACCACTACCACACTGACCACCACTACCACACTCACCACCACTACCAGCACTCACCACCACTACCACACTCACCACCACTACCACACTCACCACCACTACCAGCACTCACCACCACTATCACACTACCCACCACACTCACCACCACTACCACACTCACCACCACTACCACACTCACCACCACTACCACACTCACCACCACTACCACACTACCCACCACTACCACACTCCCACCACTACCACACTCACCACCACTACCACACTCACCACCACTACCACACTCACCGCCACTACCACACTCACCGCCACTACCACACTCACCGCCACTACCACACTCACCACCACTACCACACTCACCACCACTACCACACTCACCACCACTACCACACTCACCACCACTACCACACTCACCACCACTACCACACTCCCACCACTACCACACTCACCACCACTACCACACTCACCACCACTACCACACTCACCGCCACTACCACACTCACCACCACTACCACACTCACCACCACTACCACACTCACCACCACTACCACACTCACCACCACTACCACACTTACCACCACTACCACACTCACCACCACTACCAGCACTCACCACACTCACCACCACTACCACACTCACCACCACTACCACACTCACCACCACTACCACACTCACCACCACTACCAGCACTCACCACCACTACCACACTCACTACCACTACCACACTCACCACCACTACCAGCACTCACCACCACTACCACACTCACCACCACTACCACACTCACCACCACTACCACACTCACCACCACTACCACACTCACCACCACTACCACACTCACCACCACTACCACACTCACCACCACTACCAGCACTCACCACCACTACCACACTCACTACCACTACCACACTCACCACCACTACCAGCATTCACCACCACTACCACACTCACCACCACTACCACACTAACCACCACTACCACACTCACCACGTAGGGTGGGGGTGGGGGGCGGGGAGTGTTAGCGCTGGGGGGGGGGCAGTCGCGGTCCCCGCTGAGACCGATAATGACTCGCGACGGAGAGAGGGGGGGTCGGTCTGGGGTGCGTACGTCAGTGTGTGTGTGTGTGTGTCTGTTTGTGTGTGTCTGTGTGTGTGCGTGTGTCTGTGTGTGTGTCTGTGTGTGTGTATCAGTGTGTGTGTGTATCTGTGTGTGTATCTGTGTCTGTGTGTATCTGTGTGTGTGTGTATCTGTGTCTGTGTGTATCTGTGTGTGTATCTGTGTGTGTGTATCTGTGTGTGTGTATCTGTGCGTGTGTATCTGTGTGTGTGTGTATCTGTGTGTGTGTGTATCTGTGTGTGTGTGTCTGTGTGTGTGTGTCTGTGTGTGTGTGTCTGTGTGTGTGTATCTGTGTGTGTGTATCTGTATCTGTGTGTGTCTGTGTGTATCTGTGTGTATCTGTGTGTGTGTGTCTGTGTGTGTGTATCTGTGTGTGTGTCTGTGTGTGTGTGTCTGTGTGTGTGTCTGTGTCTGTGTGTGTCTGTGTGTGTGTGTGTCTGTGTGTGTGTAGGTGGGCGTTGTGGCGGTGTGGGAGGTCGGTCTGCACGCTCGCGTTAACTCTGCGTGACATTAACTCAGAGGAGGCAGCCGCGTAGCCAGCATCATCATCATCGTGGTGGTGGAGATAAACACACGGCCATCAGCCACCACCACCACCGGCAAAGACAAAGATCCCCCGTGTAGCCTTAACAGACTGTTGGGGCAAGTGCTGTTAGCGAACACCTATGAAGGCCGGAACGGCACACGAATGGGGTGGGGTGGCCAACACCACGCCCGGTCGCCTTTGTCTCCCAAAGTGGCGATGTTTACACATCGCACCAGGATCGGTTCAGGTTATCGTCACCGGCGTTGGCCGTGAGCGGGAATCGAACTCGGGTGTCCAGGTTCGTAGCGCAGAGTAGCGCTAACCGCTACCCCACCGCTCCCCAACACTGGCACCACCGCATGGAAGGAAGGGGGGGGGGGGCTGAGTTTATTCGGAGTGCGATTTTGCTCAATATTCACGGTGTCTCGGTGTAGCGTGCACGTGTGGATCTGCGGACGTCTGTCTGTGTGTGTCTGTGTCTCTCTGTGTGTCTCTGTGTGTGTGTGTCTGTGTGTGTCTGTCTGTGTGTCTCTCTGTGTATCTGTGTGTGTCTGTCTGTGTGTGTCTGTGTCTCTCTGTGTCTCTTTGTGTGTCTGTGTGTGTCTCTCTGTGTGTCTGTGTGTGTCTATGTGTCTGTGTCTGTCTGTGTGTCTGTGTGTGTCTGTGTCTCTCTGTGTGTCTGTGTGTGTCTGTGTCTCTCTGTGTGTGTCTGTGTGTCTGTGTGTCTGTGTCTCTCTGTGTGTCTGTGTGTGTCTGTGTCTCTCTGTGTCTGTCTGTGTGTGTCTGTGTGTCTGTCTGTGTGGGGAGCGGTGGTGTAGCGGTTAGCGCGCTGCGCTATGAACCCGGCGACCCGGGTTCTATTCCAGTTCACGGCCAATACCAGTGACGATTATCTGAACCCGTCCCGGGCCTCCCCTAGGTCGACTCAGCCTCAAATGAGTACGTACCCCTGTGCAACGTGTAAACATCGCCACTGGGGAGACAAAGGCGACCGGGCGTGATGTTAGCCGCCCACCTCCTCGCGTGCCGTGCCGGTCTTCATCGGCGCTGCTGTCAAGGCTTTACGGGGGACATGTATTGTGGTTGTACACGTGATGCGTGTGTGTGTGTTTGTCTTTTGTGCCTTCTGTTTATCCGGCCTGTTTTTTCGTCGTCGTCGTGCGTGCGCGTTCCACGTGTGGGAGCGGTGGCGCTATGGTTGAGCGAGTCCCGCTACGATTCCTGGCGACGTGTCGCATCAGTGGCGAGTGGTGTATATGAGTATATAAATGTGTGAGTGAGTGTGTGAGTGTGTACGTAACTGGGTGTGTTAGTGCGTCTGTGCCGCGGTGTGGAGCGGTGGTGTAGCGGTTAGCGCACGGCGGGGAGGAATATCTGAACGGATCTTTCTTCATCTTCCCCTGGGTCCACTCGGCCATAATAATAACAATGCTTATTGCGCATTGTGCTTATTGCGCATTGTTATTAAACGTCGGCACTGGGGAGACGTATTTAAGTCCGTACGTACGATGGACTTCTTTCGCACCGTACGTAGCCAACCGTCCTAATCGGAGGTGCGAGATAAAGGCGGTCGGAGGCGTAGTGCTGACACCCCCCCCCCCTTCTCTCTCTCTCTCCCTTCTTCTCTCGTGTGCCGTTACCGACCTTAATAGGTGCTCGCCAACAGCACTTGCCCCACCAACTCTGGCTGAAGGCTCCACGGGGCGGGAGGGGGGTACCTTTATCTTTGTGGGGGGGGGGGGGTGGTCAGTCCCTCTGTCGACTTGCCGCGAGTCTCGCCGTCGCCTCTGTTGTTGTTGGTGGTGGTGGTGTTGTTGTTGTTGTTGGCGGTGGTGGTGTTGTTGTTGTTGGTGGTGGTGTTGCTGTTGTTGGTGTTGTTGTTGGTGTTGTTGTTGTTGGTGTTGTTGGTGGTGTTGTTGGTGGTGTTGTTGTTGGTGGTGGTGGTGTTGTTGTTGGTGGTGTTGTGGTGTTATTGTTGTTGGTGGTGTTGTTGGTGGTGTTGTTGTTGGTGGTGGTGTTGTTGTTGGTGGTGTTGTGGTGTTGTTGTTGTTGGTGGTGTTGTTGGTGGTGTTGTTGTTGGTGGTGGTGTTGTTGGTGGTGGTGTTGTTGTTGGTGGTGTAGTTCTTGGTGGTGGTGTTGGTGGTTGTGGTGTTGGTGGTGGTTGTTGGTGGTGGTCAAAGCGGAGCGCGGTGCGTCCATCGGGGGATCGAGGCGCCTCGAGAGGGGAGACGGAGCAGATTTGTGGTGGGTAGGTGCGGGGGTGAGAGAGTGGGGGGTGGAGGAGTGGGGGGGGGGGCAGTGGGGGGGTGGAGGAGCGGGGGGGAGGAGTGGGGGGGAGTGGGGGAGGGGGGGGGCGGAGTGGGGGGAGGAGTGGGGGGGGCAACCTCGGCATCCGCTCCTCCCATCGTGACCCTCGTGGCTCCGACGGGATCGCGATCTCCAGTCCATCGCCACATTTCGCCTTGCACCACGCAACTGCGCATCGCAGAGAGAGGCGGGTAATCGGTGAGCGACGGGAGAGATTTATCTTGAGGCGCGTGGCGCTGAAGCCGGCTGGTTGTTCCACGTTATCTGTGGCCTATAAACACACATGCATAGAGACACAGCGAAACGACATAACGAATATTCAGACACAGCTGGGATTGTTGTCAAATATCCTCACGTCGAGAGAGAGAGAGAGACGATGGTGGCATGGAATTAGGACAATATACGCTCGTGGGGTATTCGCAGGTAATGACTCAGCCATCACCGAATAGAGCTTAGTTTAAACTATAAACTATATCTAACGCGTGACTTTACCGAAAGAAACAAGAAGATGAATCCCTGCAGTCACGAAAGCTTTAAATCGAAATATATCTAACGCTTAAAGGGATAATACAGCCAATATTTGGCACGCGTTAAGTCTCGTCTATTATTCTACACAATACTCACAATTACACAAATAAAACACTCTTATCTTGGGCAGGACCGACGCAAAATCTGAATTTGATCAACTTCACTCAAGCGCGGCAGGGACAGCCTACAGAGTCCAACCGTGCCCCTAGTCTTGCTGAACACTCTACGAACTTTATATATATATACACACATCGCGAGATATATCCGACATCGGCGAACCCAGTAATTGTCCTGCTCGCGTGGAGTGTGACCCTAAAGCCGATAAACAGCGCGCCGGGCCCGCTGGGGATTCCACGCGTCGCTCGCCGCAGGTAACTTCCTCTCTTTAACTTTGTTAATTTTTACTTTTATTTTAAATCTTCCCCACACCACCACCACCTTCCACTCCCCACCCCCCTTCCCCCCGCCATCTTATCCCGAGTGCGCTATCGTCGTCGTCACGGGACGTTAATTTCAAATCTCTCGCAGGGAAGTTAAATATAGAACGGTCCGCGGAAGTGGATTACGTAGAGCTTCCTCCGACATCCCTTTCAAGTGACTTGTGGTGCACGCGCCTAGAGGGCTGCTGCACTTGCACGCTCGGCCTACGAAGAGCAACGCTCGGCAGTTAAAGTTCCAGATCGATCTGGAACTGCACTTCGTAAGCAAGTTGAAGCGAGATACACTACAATTGTGTTTCGCGCACTTCGCAGTGAAGCCGGCGACCTGAGTAAAATTATCGGCCGCGGCGAAAATCATTGGAAAGCGCTGCCAACTCACCCGCCCGCCCCCCATGATTGACGCGGCACGGGGAGCCCCTTAACTCAGCCATGGGCTGTAAAGAAAGCCGCACATCCTGGATGAACTTGGTCGCGAAAGCCTACGTGTTAAATTGAGCCGTGCATCATCATCATCATCATCGTTATTTTGCGACCAGTGCAACGTTGAATTACGTGGGAAAGAGAACACGAGCCAACGATCAAACACATCTTAGAGAAGACTATCAATTAAACAAATATTCGACACATTCGTCAATACACTGCACGCGACAAGGATACCATACTATTAGGCGACGTTTCGGGCAATGTCCCTTCTTCATCGCACTTGCATCCGATCGACACCGTGCAAACGTTGCACGTAAACACCCTCCCCCCCAACACCTAACCACCCCCCCCCCCACCACCACGCGACACTGTCCTAGGTTGGCGGTGCGCCGTGAATGAAGCAAGAGGCGGCGTTCTCCGTGCGCGGCCCGTCGAGGTACCCCAGCATGCTCCACCTGCCCACGCTGACGTTCAGCGCGCAGCAGGTGGCCGGGGTTTGCGAGACCCTGGAGGAGAGCGGGGACGTGGAGAGACTTGCACGCTTCCTCTGGTCGCTGCCCGCGGCCGCGCTCTCTGCGGGCAACTCCGGCGATCCGCTGAGCCGCAACGAGGCCGTGCTGCGAGCCCAGGCCGTGGTCGCGTTCCACACGGGCAACTTCGGAGACATGTACCGCATCCTGGAGGGCCACCGCTTCGCCAAGGCGTCGCACGCCAAGCTGCAGGCCATGTGGCTCGAGGCGCGTTACCAAGAGGCCGAGAGGCTTCGAGGTCGCCCGCTGGGACCCGTGGACAAATACCGCGTGCGTAAGAAGTTCCCTCTGCCCAAGACGATTTGGGACGGCGAGCAGAAGTCGCACTGCTTCAAGGAGCGGACGCGCAGCCTGCTGCGGGAGTGGTACCTGCAGGACCCGTACCCGAACCCGACCAAGAAGCGAGAGCTGGCCCAGGCCACGGGACTCACTCCCACCCAGGTGGGGAACTGGTTCAAGAACCGACGGCAGAGGGACCGCGCGGCTGCGGCCAAGAACAGGTGAGCTCACACCTGGAGGGGGGGGGGTTGTTTCGTGGGGCGGGGGATGGGATGAATTCGGTAGACTTCGTGGAGTATTTGTCAGTGTGCGTTACATGTGCATTTATGTATATATGTAGGTATGTAGGCGCTTGCTAACAGCACTCGCCTCGATGGGTCTGTTAAGGATATACAGGGGATGTTTGTCTTTGTATGGATATGTATGTGTCAGTGGGGAGCAGTAGTGTGGTAGTTAGCGCGCTGTGCTACGAACCCCCCCCCCCCCCCGACGAATATCTGAACCGGTTTTGGGCCTCTCCAAGGCCGACTGAGTCTAAAATGAGTACCCGGTGCGGTGTGCAAACATCGCCTCTTGGGATGCAAAGGCGGCCGGGAGTGGTGCTGGCCACTTCACTCCCTCGTGTGCCCGTGCCGGCCTTCATAGGTGCTCGCTAACAGCACTTGCCCCAAAAGCCTGTTGAAGGCTATACGCGCAGGGATCTGTGTCCCGGTTTTGTCAGTATGTGAGCCATAGAACACACTTGAGCAAGGGGTTCATTCCGCGTGGAAGAAACCGGAGACGAGTCATGCGGATGACGAGCTACAGTACGTGCGATCCACAACCATTGACCTTTGTAAACAAACACACACACAAACTGAAAACACATCGACCGAATATTTTCACCATGGCCCTCGGATGTTTTATAGATGGTAACGTCAGGATTGTACCCCACACCCCCCTGCATGCAGTCGCAAAACAAACTAAAACACATTGGTCAACAACACTGTGTGCTTGAGAAAATATATATATATAAAATCTGCGACGTTTCGGGGAATGGCCCTTGTCCATGGCGCGTTATCTGCACAGTAGTATCGTTGGCTCACGAAGCCACAACACAACATTTGTCCGGACACTCTTTGTCGCTTTGCGTACGTGTCGTTGAATTGTCCGGGATAACGCCGCAATGCAGAACCCTCGTGGAAGATTATCTCGAGATAAATTGAATCTTTCCCGGTTGAATGAATAAATATCACGTCAATATTTTACTTCATTGAATGCAAAAAAGGCAGGATATAGGGTAAAACACCGAAGCTGTTTTGGCTCCTGCAGAAGTAATGGTGGCTATTTGTATTGATTACACTGAACTCTACTTTGCGTAGTGTCTAAAACAAAACAGAATTACGTTCTATAGTTTTCCGTTGCACTTGGTCGGACCCATATCAAAGCAAAGATGTTATTTGGATTTAAACATTTGGGCGGTTCGCCAGCATTTAGGTTAATCCAAACCAGACTCTGCTGATGAGAGAGTGAATGTTGAAACCTGCCCAGTGCTGTTTCTTGACTTAACTACTGCTATGAGACATCTCCTTTACCAGTGGCAAAATATAGGAGTAGGTTTTTACCCTTTCAACTGGTACAAAAAAGGTGTCAGTTTTTGTACCAGTGGAAAAGGGTAAAAACCTACTACTTAACTACTGCTGTATACTGGGGGGAAAAATGCATTCCCGAATGGGACGTGTTTATGTGTAGGAACAGGTGTGAATTGGATATATTGCCTGCGTATTTATTCAATGCAAGCACAACTCTGGTTCACAACATTAAGTGTCTCATAAGCATAATCAGCCTGGATTAAACTAATGTTAATTTTAATGTTTTACCTACGTGACTTTACCGAAAAAACCTAAGAATATGAATCCTTGCAGTCACGAAAGCTTCAAATCCAGAATTAATGTTGGTGAACTGCACGATGCGTATTGACAAGAAACCTCTCCGTAACGAATGGGTTCCTATAGACCGACGCAAAACTATACAATGCATGACACTCCCAGAAAGCCTTGTTTGCTGATGGGATGTGTCAAAAGTGGGGAGACAAATATGGGAAGAAGGTTGCGAATTGTTGACATCACATTATAATAGAGCGATCGGGAATGTTAATTCAATGTACACACATTCTATAGAGTATTGTAATTGTACATGGCTCACACGTGTCACGTCATTGTTTCGTTTAAAACTTTTTTTTAAAGATAATCGCGTAAATATATAAATGTGTCGTTAAGGACACAAAACCTGTATTGTGGATGATATTGATCGCGAAAGCCTACCTGTTAAGCCAATCGTAAGATTATTTATATCGGATAGGTTATTTAGTTATGTATTATTCATGCAGATTGCGAGCCTAGCGGTGAAACAATGAATTATATTCACTATTTACAACAGCGAAATTCTACAAACATTTCGGAACATTTTGATAATATATTTGATACCGATTATTATTTCAATACTTAACGCAGTTTCAACAACGGTGTAAAGGTAAAAAAACACCCATAGCAATATAAATGTAGACACTTTACACTTATTATCGTGTACAGTACATATTAATACTGTTATATATTAATTTAACATACATTGATCATTTTTGTCAATTCCCTACCGGATGATGGCCTCCCAACGTTGAGTCAGTCACGGAGGATGTTTGGACAATACTTCACCATGCTGGTCCGTGAGCATTGGTGCGGAGGGGAGGCCAAATTTAAATGTAAACGGACCACTCGCCACTGATGTGTGAGCCGTGTCCTCGAATCGAACTCAGGTGGCCGGCTTCGTAGCGATGTGTGCTAACTGCTGCGCCACCGCTCGCTGCGCGCCGCATTATTTTGCCGCAATTAAACAGGCCTACAATTGTAAATGTTGTGGCTTCAACACACCGGTGGGCTAAAGCAGTTAACTATTTGTCTTTTGTCAACGTGACACTTTTTTACTGATTGGCCGTGTCGGGTGGTGGAGGGTTACGACACATTTATAAATAACGCGATCTAAACCCAAAAACGTTGATTATGAAGGCCTACAATGTCGACATTGCGAGTATTCCAACCATTATGCATCCTTGAAAAAAATATATATACAGCAAAAGCAGCCTACTTCGATCGTGCCTTCCAGATTAATGATTTTCATTGGCGCCTGTGTAAATTGAGCAACGGAGACTAAGTTTCCACTTGGTTGACCCTCATCAGCAAGGCATAGCCTTGCAGGCTGCTGCCACGGTTTGAATGTTCTCAGGCTCTTGGCAGCGCTAGAGGTGAGGTTGTTGGCGTAGCGGCCCTGTAACCCGAGTGTTAAACTCTCTCCCGATGTGTTTTTTAATGATGTTGTCCGGCACGATGTCCCCGACGTTTCGCTCCACATGCTGGGTCGGGGGACTTTTTTAAGGCACCGAAGGGAACTCAGAAGGAGAGCCGCATGCAGCAAGCGGCCCGGGCCACGTGTGGTCCGTGTAGAACCGTGTAAACCCGCGTAAAACCGTGTAAACCCGTGTAGAACCGTGTAAACCCGTGTAAACCCGTGTAAACCCGTGAAAAACCGTGTAAAACCCGTGTAAACCCGTGTAAAACTGTGTAAACCCGTGTTAAACCCGTGTAAACCCGTGAAAACCCGTGTAAAACCCGTGTAAAACCGTGTTAAACCCGTGTTAAATCGTGTAAACCCGTGAAAAACCGTGTAAAACCCGTGTAAAACCCGTGTAAAACCGTGTAAAACCCGTGTAGATCCGTGTAAACCCGTGTTAAACCCGTGTAGAACCGTGTATAACCGTGTTAAACTCGTGTAGAACCGTATAAACCTGTGAAAACCCGGGTAAAACCCGAGTAAACCCGTGTAAAACGGCTCAGCTGGAAGATAACAACTCTGCAATGGAAATTGCGCGACTCTCGTCTCTGGGTCAAGTCCCCGCGGTGGACAGTGCAGCTCGTTTACACGCGGGTGTCATTGTCAGATACAAACAAATATAGAGCTGACGTGCGTGCATCTGTACCTAACTTTTTTATTTTTTTAAATATCACACTTGCAATTTGCTAAATGCCCGGTTTGTTCGTCGCGTGATGTTCTTCCAGGACCGTGTGCTCGTTCTCTGCAATATCGATGTGTTTGTCTTGTTGTTGTTGTTGTTGTTGCTGCTGCTGCTGATGTGCTCACGCGGCACCACGGATCTCCCGTGTAAAACAGCCGGGGAAACCGACGACACGAGATCGTTCGTGAAGCAAATAGAATAAACGAAAGGCTTTGGGCGAAAACCCTTCCCGACCCTCTCCGTTACGAGCAACGATGCAGGCAAATTCGTTAACGCGTTGTGTCCACGTGCAACTGCGCGTTTACATTTTAACACGTGGTAGACTTTCGCGACCAATATTATTCATATTAAAGGTTTGTTTGGGTTAAATCGCGTAAGTATAAATGTGTCGTAATTCTGCCAGAATATTCTGGAAAATCGCTCGATGATGCTGGATGTAATTACCAGCCAAACGTCGTACTACTCAAATTGTCGATGTTGTGGATCTCCTCGGCAACACGCCGGTGGTGGGCTGAAGTAGTAACTAACTGGCGTTTGTTTTCCTTCTTGGTTCTTTCGGTAAAGTCACGTAGAAGGGAAATAATAAAATAATAAAAATAAAACATAATAAAATACAATTCTCACGACGTTTCGGCCACAACGCAAGCAGCCGTCCTCAGGTGAAGAACAGGTCTGTCGGAAAGACAGCGTGACTTTACCGAAAGAACCAAGAAGATGAATCCCTGCAGTCACGAAACCTTTAACTGGCGTTTTGTTTACGTGACAAATCCCTTACGAATTGGCTGTGTCGGGTGTTGGAGGGTTACGACGTGTATACATGTACACACACGGACGTCTGAACGACCGGTAGCACACACGTGTCGAACACTCGTGCTAATTCGTGTGTCTGCGTGATTCTGCGTTGCGGCAGCAGCGTACAGCCTCGCGTAACAAACAAACAAACGAAAAACTCGACACATTTCTCAGAAGCAGTTTCAGTTCAGTTTATTTTTAATTACCCTGTGAGCCAATACGCTCTTAAATCGAGTTTCATCCAAAAACAACACCGCCGCTTTCCCGACATACGCAACAAGTTTCAGTGAAATGAATGAATAATCAACAACAACAGATACGCGAAATAAATGGAGAAATAATTGAAAACAATAAATACGTATCAAATTTAGCAACTTAATGGGC